TCTTTCTCTTCCTGATGATATTTGAGTAATAAAATACCTTACTCTCGTATCTGTATAAATGATATATCACTCTTCTATAGTACGTAGTATATATCATTAATTTGAAATATACGGAATAGATGTTTGTATACTCTCTACGTTCCATAATTAAGTTCTCACTCTTCTATTTGTAATGTTTTAAAAATTAATTTTCTTTCTCTTCCTGATGATATTTGAGTAATAAAATACCTTACTCTCGTATCTGTATAAATGATATATCACTCAATATTATTTTTCTCAATAATCATTCTTTTAAGGAAGAATGATTGAGAAAAAATCGTAAATTCAAAAGGAACTTAATTACGGAATGATTTTTTTTCTTTGGATGAGCTATAAAATATATCATTGACCATAATTGTACAGAACTGAAGGAGCATACCCCAGCTAAATAATCCATTATTACGCAACACAACACACCACAACTCTCGAGGAATCCGTAAAGGAAAACTATTGGCAATTAGAAATCATACTCCTACTTCGGCAAAAACCAAAATGGAACACATTAGGAATATTTAAGTTAGAAAAAATGATTTGTACATAGTCATCAAACATACTACGTGCTAGTCACAAACAAAACATTATTTGTCAATCAACATGCTATTCATAGACAAAGAAATAACCTATTTGAAGGCATGTATGGAGTTTAGTAAAAAATACCTAGTACATACAAGAAACATGACAGCTTAATGTATGCGAACGCGTATAAAGCAAAAGGTAAACAAGATCAGACATTGTTCCTTTGCTGTGAAAACGCAGGTACATCAGTAGATTTTGAACTTTACAGCATAACGCTTATTTGGTATTAGAGGCTTAGAACGTGTATCCATTTCTATCACATTTTCACATCATCAATTGGCTTAACTTAATCTAATAATCTATACTCTAATCATGAAATTTAGAATTACTATTTTCAATTTATCAACTAACTTTTTACCTAGATGTAGTTTTTAATTTCTTGCACCAAATTATTTAATTCAATCTCCTTCACTCTAAAATTAAGACAATAGGATATGATTAGCCATGGACCCGGGTCCGGGTCCGGGTCGGGCCTCGGCCCGGCCGGGCCTAATTTCTTTTGATGTGGACCCGAGACCGGCCCGGTGGTTAGCCGGTTACGGGTCGGGTCGGGCCACTCGCCCGGGTCGGGCCGGTTACAATTTTTTTATTTTTCCTACTTATTTCTACAAATGCTGCATATTAAAAACAAACTTCAAGTGCATTTATTTGAAATAGGAACTACATTTGAGAATTGAGAAAAAAATTACAATATGAAATACATTTTCTAATAAATAATAATATAATATATAATAATCAATCGGAATTTCCGGCACCGTTGGTTGTTGTTTTCTCCATGCCTTTGCCTTTGTCACATGACTTAATATGTCTTGTGGGCATCCCGTATCCATGTGAACACCTCAAGCTACACTCTTTCTTGCACCACCTGCAAGTTGCGTACCTCATCCTGGTATTCGGGTCCTTCCACATATCAAAATTGTTTTTGACAAGGGAAGATCTAATTTCCATCTTTAAAATGGTAGATGTATAAGTAGGAGAATAAGAGAAGATGAAGATGGAGAAGAGTTGAAGAAGAGGTGTATGAAAATATTAGAAAATAGATGTATTTATAGAAATTTTTGTACCTCACCTCCCACCCCCACTCCTCCCCCACCCCCCGGGACCCCATCTACTGGCACCCAACGGCTATATAGCCGTTTGGGAGAAATGGGAGCTGTTTGTTTAATTTTTTTAATTTATAATTAATACATATTGTAAACTTAATTACTTTAATTAATTCAGTAAAGCTATTTTTACTTAGAAAATAGGTGTGAATGTGTGATTTATAATTTACAAATGTTAGAAAATAGGTGTATTTATACAAATTCCATATTGTAAAGCTATTTTGAATTTAAAAACATCCTTTAGAAAATTAAATGTAAGTTCTAACCAATTAATTAATTTGAGACGTGTTACATTTAAAAAAATGAACATATATTTATTTGAAATATGAACTACAAGTTTACAATTGAGAATTGAGGAAAAAATTCAAACATGAAATATATTTTATAATAAATTGTAAAATACTAATCAATCGGAATCTCCACCATAGGTAGAGCCACCCTCGGTTGTTGATTCATTCATAAAGTGTAGGGAGTGGTGATGCTAAGTTCTTGAGTTCTACGTCTGGCCTTCAACCAATAATGTAGCATACAAGCGTCTCAAGAGAGTTTGCGCTCAATAACGTTCTAGATTCCGTTAGGACGTTGCCGGCCGAACTAAATTCTTGTTCCACAGCAACTGTTGAAACCGGCATTGATAGCACTTGCTTAGACATCCGTGCTAAAACCGGGAACATTCTTTCTTTTTCCTTCCACCACTTTAGAACGTCAAAGTGATCATCTTCTTCAAAATCAACATTATATGTTAAATACAAAGCAATCTCATTAACTGAGCTTTGTTCAGTAGCGGGAGTTGTTTTAGTTTTTTTCATAAGATTGCCAAAAGTAGATTTGAAAATTGATTTTTCCTTTAGATGAAGATGTACGTGTCGGGGGATGGGGCGTGTTACCGTATTGTTCATGAAACTCATTAAACAAAGCATAAAATAAAGTACTAACATCGATGTATTCTTGTAAAGGATCTATGGGGTTATCCTCATACATTGGATATTCACAAAAAAAAAAGCAAGATAATAGAACTTCAAACATTCTTGCATAGAAGCAAGTCTAAAACGAGGATCAAGAATAAATGCAATACCATAAATATGCGGAATATGTGCATAATATTTTAAAAACTTTTGTTGCATAAAATCACAAAAATAACTCACATAAGCGGCGTTCGAAAATTCATTAAAAGCATCGGCCAGATTAACAGCTTCACGAATAAGACATCGGGTCGGGCCTAGGCTCGGCGGGCTTTTTGGGGTTTGGGGTTAGGCCCGGAACCGGCCCGGGTATCCACCGGGTCTAGTTCGGTTCGGGCCGGGCTCGGGCCTGTTTACATTTTTTTTGCTTTCCTAACTACCCCCTGACCCCCCCCCCTACCCCCCACCTCCCAACTCCCCCCAACCCCCAACCCCCCCCCCCCCCCCAAAAAAAAACACCCTAGTGACCTAGCCCAGCCCGGGGGATAGCAAAAAAGAATTGAAAAACCAAAAAAAAAAAATTAGGCCCGACCGGACCCGGGCTCGGCCGGTTCGCATTTCCCTTAGCCCGTACCCGCCCCGGTTACCCCCACAAACCGGGCCTAGACCCGGAACCGGTACCCGGTTCCCGGGCCGGGCCGAGCGGCCCGCACCGAGTCCAAGCCTAGATAGGATCATTGAGAAAAGTAAAATTACACACAAAATTAGAACCCGCAAAATTATCAATTTGTATCTAATATTTGTGAATTAAAATTACACAAACAGTATCAATTATATAATGAATTGAGCATACATAAGCAGATGAAAAGAGAAAAAATGGACAAAAATAGTGGATCCATGAAGATATTCAAAAGTAAAGTCCAAATGAATTTGCAAAAAAATGATTAGCTGATTGAACCAATTACCATGAATTTCAGGTGTTACTAAACAAACTCTCAACTTAAATTGACTTCCCAATTTCCCATTAAAAACATGTAAACCTTACTTTGATCACTTTCCGGCAGTTTCCACATAAACTTCGACCATGACTACCTTTTCAACTTAAATTTGTTCCATCAGACACACCCTTTACTAGTTAATGGTCGAAGTTTATCATATTCAGCTGAATAAAATTTTTCCCAATTTTTTCAATCAACCGTTTCATGACTTTCATCAATTAATTTTATCAGATACAGCTCATTTAATGTTATGAAACAAGCTCTTAAGTGGAAACTGCAAACGATTTTTCTTGAATTACTAGTACAAAGGAAAACAAATAGGATTGGACAGGCGTGGAATCGGGCTGGGCGGGTCTGGGTCGGGCCTAGGCCCGGGCAAGTCGGCGGTTCAGAATTGGTGGACCCGGGACCGGCCCGGATAGCCACCAGGTCCGGGCCGGGCCTCCGGTTTTGTTTTGTTTTTTTAGCTTTCCTAACCCCCCCCCCCCCCCCCCCTCCACCCGCCACCCCCCCCAAACCCCTCCTAACCATCAAGCCCAACCCGGGTGGAACCCCTGGAACCCCAAAAAATTGAAGAAAAAAAAAACAATTTGGCCCGGATCCAGGCCCGAACCGGATGGGCCGGTTCGCCAATTGTAAGACCCGAGCCCGGACCCCCCGGGCCTAGGCCTAACCCGGACCCGAGAACCAGGCCGGTCCCGGTCCCGCACAGTAGCGGGCAGGTCCCGGTCCCGCACAGTAGCGGGACAGACCGGTCCACGGGCCGTGTGGCCCGACCCGAATCCACCACTGGGATTGGAGTAGGTTTATAATCGAGTAAAGGGTCATTTTGGTTCTCGAAGTTGCAAAAAAGGGGGTCAAATAAGTCCTTATGTAGAAGATTCTGTCCAGACGTGCCATTTGAGGTGGCTCCCGGTGGTTTTTTTTGATAATTTTTTTTTTAACATCTTATTCATTAAATCTAGTTTACTGTTAACTCATACCAAATTTAAGCTAAAAATTCAATCGAGAAGACATTCAAATGAATTCTTGAAGATAACTGCGCTTATAACGGCACAGTTATCTTCAAAAAATCATTTGAATGTCTTCCCGATTGAATTTTTATCTCAAATTTGGTATGAGTAAACTAAACTTAATATATAAGATGGTCAAAAAAATTCATCAAAAAATTCCACCGGAAGGCACCTCAAATGGCACATCCGGACAGAATCTTCTTTATAAGGACTTATTTGACCACTTTTTGCAACTTCGAGGACCAAACTGACCCTTATCTCATTTATAATCTACTGATTTTTTTCTAGTGATGACCTGATAATTTATTTTCATTTCCTTTAAACAACACAGTAGTTTTGTTTATTTATATCATAGCGACATAGCCTCATAGGTAAGTTCTTCCGAAATAAATCTTAAATCACACTGATTCATTGCCAGGAAAAAGTACAGAGATATTCAAATATAATCGCAAAAAAACATTTTTAGAAACTCATAGATTTAGTAATGACATCCATGAGAGAGAACGACCTAAGAAACAATTGCACGATTTCATTGTTTCAGATTTCAAGAAGGGAGCCATTAGGTTAAACCAAGAAACAATTGCACGAATTAATCCATAAAACTTCAAATGTCATGCACTGATGCACATACAGAACTATGCAAAACTGTATCTCAACTTAATATCCATCATTGCTGCGGTCAAACCCACCGGCACGAGGACTAGACCTCTCCTGAGCAATAGAGACACGAATGTTTCTTCCGTCAAGTTGCTGCAATAAAGGGGCAAACTCGTTAGAGTTCTTTTTAACAGAAGAGTTTTGTAACAGTTTAGCATATTCACTCTAATTACATCCTACATTTGTGACATTCATTAAAAAATGTACAAGACGCACTCTCACGCACAAATAGGAAAATTCAGCTCAGAACTACGTGACAGATGGCCAAAACTATTGTGGGTTGCTAGATCTTGGGTAGTTATACAATTATATCGGCTGGTATTACAATCTAACTGCCCCATTAAAAGGAGCTAATTTTGTTCAAATTTACGGTCAAAGTTTATGGTCTAAAATGTTTCTTCATTAGTATCAAATAGCTATAATCTTTGGATCTTAATTTTGTTCGACCATAGACTCTTGACACTCAATTTTTCACCTATAGCATTCTTATATACAGAGCAACAGTTAATACCAATTCATCATAGAAAATTGATCTCAAGATCGGAAAATTTTAAATTTTTATGATCTATCAGTTTAAACTACTAGTTGATATTAAAGAACAAAACACTTGGATAATAAACTGCATTTTTGGCCAAGAATGAAATTTGACTGTCAAGCCAGCCTCATATGAACACACACACATATGTATCATAAAGAAGATATATTTCTAAAAGATCTAAACCTTTCCATCCATATTGGAGAGTGCTTCCTCCGCTGATTTATCGTCAGTAAAATTCACAAACCCGAATCCTCGTGACCTCCCAGAATCTCTGTCCGTAATAACCCTTGCTATACACCATAACCGAGGAAAATAGTCATACAAAGTCAGGCAGTGATGTCTGGTCATAAAATAAGATATAGCCAGATTAAAAGTGAAGGCAATGCCCATTACAGATGAAACACAATACTCAAGTATTAAGCTATATACAACAGCACTAAGAGCATCTTTAACAAGAGCATCAATAGCTCTAAATGCATTGCCACGTCCAACTTCGGGAAAAAAACATCTCCAACGGCAATATGGATGATGGCTGTGATGATGACGTGGAATGAAAAAAAAGGACGATGTCTATCCCACCTTCTAGAGTTTCAGAAAGCCCATCCCATTGCCAACTCGGCAAAAAATAAATTCTACCAATCTTTTTTCCCGTAATCTTTTTTCCCGTATGGGAATCATATACAAGTACGTAGTACAAAATTATTTCCCTTCCGTCAAACACATCGCCCGTCTGATTTTCAGTAAATGAAGGCATCAAATTCTACCAATTTTTTCCGTCAAACACACCGCCGGTCAGATCCCGTCTTCATCCTCTCTACCGGCAAGGCGGCTACGGCCTTATCAAATTTTTCTTCAGTTATGGCTTCTCCTTCCACCATGGATTTCAGCTTCAGCAGAGTGCCACAGTTCTTTCTCAGGACCAAATATCTCCCATCTTTACACATAGAAAATAACCTTGAGAACTCAACCTTTGTAGTGCGTATAGAGATGATCGGCGGGGGAAGTAGGCTAAACCTAATCGGCAGGTTTTGTTATTCTTTCCAAATCCTGGAGGTGTGTAGTGTGTATGTATATATAAATGCTACCCGGTATTTTACTTAATATATACTCCGTATACAAAAACAAATAATGCTGCTTTGCATATGAATAATGATTAAATTAGTTTTTGTCAAGTGAGTGAACAGAAGAAAGTAAGAAACCATTGGAGACGGAATATCATTTTAATAGTCTATGAGTCCAAATCAGCCTCACGGGCTGTTTATATGGATGATGTGTCCATTTTTTAAGGGTGCAATTCACGTCCCTATTGGAGATGCTCTAAAACACAGGACGGGGCAGAAGACCATGTTATTGGAGTTTGTCAAGTAATCTGTCTTGAAATTCAATGTCCCCATTTAGTGAAGATGAAATAGGGGCAAAGTTAAATATGTCAAGCCTAAGCAGAAAAAAAATCCACAACACCCTATTTAGTCACACAAAGGAATTGATTCCATTGCCTACCCTCTTCTAATAAATCAAATGAAGTAAACCAAACCAATCCCTCCCCCAACCTTTTCTGTACCTTGAAACAAACAAAACCTTACTGAATCTCAATGAGAGTCAATAAGACTGCTCTTCCTCTGTTTTATTTAGCAGTTAAAAACAACACATCCAACTGCCTCTTACATTTGACTTTCCTTAAAAACCTAAAGGGCTATATTCCCCTTCCATATCTTTGGGAGAGACAATTGGCTCTAAAAATGCTACAAGTTGCAGTTAATTTCATAAAATATTAAGGCAAGGAGTGAATTACATAGTATTGCAAAAACATGTATAGAGAATGTCTACAACTTATAATTAAAAAAAAAAAAAAAAAACTAGTTATTGTTTAAAATTACAAAATAAAAGGGAGAGAAGTGCGTAGTACTGCAAGGGGAGTTCTTAAGTGGAAACTAGGAACTTCACATGAAGCAAAAACCAAAATATAACATAATACATAAAACATAAAAACCCACCTTCCACAACCTCGCCATAACCAGAGAAAGCATTCTTTAGGGAATAATCATCGGTCCCATATGAAAGTCCTGTGAAATATACGGATAAAGAAGCGTATGTTTGATTATTCATCTTTCATAATCAATACCTGTCCAATATATTAAATAAAACTACTAGAGAGCTATGCACTTCCTTACCACCAACAAAAAGTTTTGATGACATGCATCGTAGAGCACCAAACATGGTGGCTACTTGCACGGGAGCATGTGTTGCATTGTGTTTAGAAACACAAGTCTTAACAAGACTACCGAGTCTGTTGCAGAATGCCATTACTACAAATTAAAACAAAAGTTCATAAATGAACAATTAGTGACCAATGTGAACATTAATGAGTACGCTGAAAGCCAAAACAATCATTACGATATATCAGATTATCAGCCAAAACTTATTACTTTTTATTACAACTCCTCAATTTAGAAAAATATTCATCGTTTAACTGAAATGATAGATAAAGAACGAAGCTGAACAACACCCTTTAAGGTTTATCTATTCACTGCTGACATGATATAAAAAGATATGTACGAACATACAAAATAAGATAAAATAAGAAAACAGTCAGAAATAATCGACAAACCTCCGGATATTAGACTGCGTCCGACCTAAGGTGAAGGTGAAGAGGAGCTGGAAACGGAGAGAGCAGTATAGCTTACGACCGTATGGCTGAGAGTTAAATTGGTCCACCGGCAGTAGGGTTAGGTCATTCCAGATCTTGGGCATGTGGTTTTCTAATTGGACCGGATCACAAACTTTGGGCCAATGACTTTGAATCATTTAAGTTGTCATTTTTTTTAGAATATTCTTCTAAACCTATTATGGTATCTGCTTTTGTTAATGTCAACATTTTTTATTGGGATGAGACTCGAACATGCAACCTCCTCTTTAGAAGATCAGCAGTGATGTCATCCTCTTTAGAACATCCACTTATTTGACATTTTTGGTTAGTACATGGACTTATTTGCCTCTTTTCCCAAAATATTATATTTAAAATATTTTTATTATAAATAAAGAAACAATCTTAGACAAAATAACTAAAATGATATTATATAATAACTTCACTCAATATAATTACAAAAGTTACATCAAACTCACTAATGCTCGTTATTATACTTTCTCCGCCTCATAAAACTTGGTCAAACTTTCTTTTTTAGCCGTCCCAAAACACATTACATTTTCATTTAATGTTAACAAATACTTCTTATGTGATTAGACTAATTTCTCTTTCATATACACAAATCTCAATCAGATATTTTTTTCTTTATTATTCAACATGCAGGTCAAAGTTGGCCAAGTTTTGTTGGCAGGAAAAACAATTGATAAGTACATATTTCGCCACGCATTTGATGCGTGTTGAGATTGATTTTTATTAGTTTTCCTAGCTTAAATGTGTCACAAAGCACCTAATTACCTCAAATCATAGTTTACCGAGTTTTGATTTGCATTTTGTGTTTTTGGAATTAAAAACATTACCTCAAATCATGTCATCGGAGTTGGAGAATTAACCGAGAGGGTTAGAGACACATTTAAGAGCTATTAAGAAGTATTGAAGATCCACGAGTCATTAATGGAGTGATTTTGAAGTCAAGAGAGCTCAAGGATCAAGTACGAGATCAAACGGGGACGAATAGAGTTTGAAAACGACAATCAGAATGACGTTATATTAATCGTTCGAACATATCCTTTCATAGAAACATCAAAAGGAAATGATTCAAGCTTCATATGAAAGTTAATTTAAAGGGCTACAAATCATATGAAGACACTATGACAAGAATGTAAGAGGATCAAGGTGAAAACAGGGGAGGGAGTCAGATAATCGTTGTTGAGATTCTAGGATGCGACCTTCCACCATTTTATTCATGTCTTTTTTTTTTGGATGATCAAATCCCAGTTTTGCAAGTTGTGGTAGATAGAAGACTTCATTAACTACAAGCCTCAACTTTGGTGGAGGAAGCAAAGTCAAATTCGGGCGGAAGAAGCGCACGCAACGCGCACAAACAACGAACGTCATGCGTGGAAGAAGAACCCACGCAGAGGCTACTGGAGGCCACACATGCCGTGTGTGCGAGGGTAGGGGTGGGAAAAACCGAACCGGAACCCGAAAACCGATCCCTGGCCCGACGCGAATTATGATTCCGGTCCGGGTATTTTCTTTTTAACCGACTTGAATAAAAAAAATTGGACTGAACCCGAAATTACGGGCTCATTAACGGGCCGTAAAATCTCTAACCCGGCCCGGACCAATAAAACCCGAAATAATTATATTTAATATTAAATCAATTAATATATAGATATAATTTATAAATAATTCCTAATATATGATTATAATCATGGTGGATGAAAAAATGACTTAGTAATTTATAGTGACTACAAATATGTTCAATATGTTTACCGTAACGACCATGAAAATATTATTATATTAACTTTAGTCACAATTTTATTCAAAAGTTTAATTTCGTAATTGTTGGGATATTGGGTCCAGGCCCAATATCCCTAGGCCCAAATCCAGGAAGAAACAGCGGGCCCAAGGCAGTCCAAAAGAACTCCCGAACGGCATTCGGGGTAAAAGTTATACTTGGAACATTCCAGGAAACAATTATGCCAAATCACCTATGGCAGAGATACCGATCGGCGTTCGGGATGTGTTCCTAAGCAGGATAACACATACGACGGGGTCCCACACACCGAACACCTTGACCGAACGGGCAATCAGCAAGTGGAGGCCGCATTTAATGCTGGATCATGGCGGCAGCAAGTGGGGGCATGGGTGCTTACATGGCAGAGGTGATAGCCTACCAGATTCGACCACGTGTCCACCTTGCCCAATCCCATTTTAGTATAAATATCCATGTTTAGATCATTGGAAAGGGTTAGCATTTTAATACTCAGAACTTAGCAATAGATTTACATCTCCCATCCTTGTAATCTCATATTCATCTACCGTTCGGGTAGTTTCAGTGTAATTGCTTAATTACAGAATATAAGTAAGTTCTTGAGTTGGATACCATTTCACTATTTTATATTTTACACACATTTCAATCAACCCTACCCAATATCCCTATAATATCCAAGGCTTGTGTTGGGCTTTCGGATCTTCGGGAATAAACCTCAACATTGGCGCCGTCTGTGGGAAACGAAACTAAAAGTTCAAGGAAAACAGCTGATCTAAGCACCATTTTTTGAAATGGCTAGGCTTCATACCGCTACACCGAGTTCTGCATCCAGAGGACGAGGAGGCCATAGATCCTCTGAGGGGTGGTCCAGGCAAGGACACGCCAGTGGCAGTGCCACCCGGGAGTTCGAGCAAATCATCCCCCAGGATGTAAGGATGAACCCTCAGTTGATGAGGGATATGGCGGAGGCCATGCAACGCATGGCGGACGAACAGGAGCGGGGCTACACGGATGAAACTCATGAGCCACCATCCCCGTTGCGTCCCATGCCATCTTTTGACGAAGAGGAGGACATCGAGACTACGATGGCCTCAGTTCATTCCGAGGAACGCCGCAGGAACCATTGGAGGGCCCATACCCCCAGACGAGGAGCACCAACCAGCCGAACCCCGTCCGCCCCTCGAAACGGATACAGGGAACCTACCCCCATGATAGATCCCGTTGGACAAAACTTCCAATATATCCAGAGGGATGGGGAACGCTTCATCCGGAGGAGGGCTAACATAGCTGCTCCTCCCCAGAACAGAATACCGGAATGTGTGGATGCTCGGATACCACACATTCCCCGAACGGCCCAAGATGACGAAATGGCCGAAGTGAGGAGACAGATGACTGAGCTCAGAGAGCAGGTCAATCGGACGCCCCAACAAACCCCGCCAGCACGGGTTGGGATCACCTCTCCCTTTACTAGGGAAATCATGAACGCCGAAATCCTGAAGGACTGCCGTCCCTCGACCGGCTTAGCATACGATGGGGTGGGAGATCCCCACGTACACCTGAGGAGTTACCAGGGTGGCCTCATGCTATTGGGGGCCACCGACGCGGCAATATGCAGGCTGTTCTTCAGTACCCTTCGGGGACCAGCCCAGGAATGGTTCGGAACGTTACAACCCGGGTCGATCGGGAGCTTTGCGGAGCTATCCACCTTGTTCTTGGCTCAGTTCGCCTCCAGCACAACCCCGAAATTACATTTCGGGTATCTAACCAGTGTGAGGCAAGGGCCTAGAGAATCAATCTCCGGATTCCTCACCAGGTGGAGGACCGAAACCCTGAAGGTGACCGGCATGACAGATGAGACGGCCATCCTTCTTTTCACCGATGCCCTTCAGACGGGAGATTTATACAGGGAGCTGAAGAGGAATCCGGGGACCAGCTACCCAGACATCCTGGAAAGGGCCAGGAACTATGCGGCCCTGGAAGAAGAGATCAGGATAAGGGACCGAACGGCCCCGCAGCCTCCCACTTCAAGACTGGCAGAACGTCTGGGACCCACACCAGCGGCTGCAGCACCTCATCGAAGGACTACGCGCTTCACCCCCCTGGTCATGTCTATAGCTGGTGTTTTCCATTTGGAACATAACGCCATTCCTCCCCCTACTGACACAAGGCCCGTGATGGGACCTACCCCAAGCTCCTACTGCAGATACCACCAACGGAACGGGCACCTCACGAAGGATTGCCACGCCCTACATGTGGCAATTGAGGACCTGATCCAAAAGGGCTACCTGAGGAAGTATGTCAGCACCAGCCTGAACAGCCCCAGTCAGCGCCCTCCCCGATCCAATAGCTGGAAGCGGGATGCCCAGCGGGATGCAGAACCCAGTAATGATTCATACCTTCCCCCTATAGAGGAGGCTGAGGGGTCTGGGAATCCGGGAAAAAAGCCACGATTGGAGGTGAAAGTCATCTTTGGCGGGGGAGAGACCGGGGATACGGCCGCCGAACGTAAGAAATTTGAGCGCAGCCTCTATGTCGCCACTGTAGCTGCACCTCCCACAAAGAAGGGCCGCCTAGAGCCAATCACGTTCGGGGTGGCTGATTTACCCAACTCACCGAGTCCGCACAGGGACGAGCTAGTGGTGAGTATGTGTATAGACAACGCCTTGATCCACCGAGTTCTGGTGGACACGGGAAGTAGTGTGAACGTGCTGTATTTACGCACGTTGGAGAAGATGAAGCTAAAGAAGGACCAGCTGACCAAGCTGAAGACACCGCTGGCTAGCTTCACCGGCAATGTAATAGAGGCAGAGGGCACCATCCAGCTTCTGGTGGAAATTGGTGATGAAATTCACCGAGCGGCAGTCCGGATGACGTTTGTGGTGGTGGATATTGCATGTGCCCACAATGCCATATTGGGCCGTCCGGGGCTAGAAGATTTGGAGGCAATTGCCTCTGTTCGACACTCATGCATCAAATTCCCAACTGACACTGGTGTAGGAGTGGCTCGAACAGATCCTGCCATAGCCCGAACGTGCTACCGGGAAGCTTTGAAACAAATGACCACCCGGGGACAGCGGGTAAACAGCATTGAGGTACAGACCCGGCGTACGGAGTTCGAGGGACGCCCCGAGCCAGCCTCCCTCTTAGAATACATCGAGCTTGATTCCCCTCCCGATCGTAAGATTGCGATCGGGGTGGACCTTGAAGGGGAAATCAGGGAGGGGGTGATCGCTGTCCTCAAGAGATTCCAGGTCCTATTTGCCCGAGGACCCGAAGACATGCCGGGGATTGATCCGGCCCTTATATGCCACAAGTTGGCCGTTCGGCCAGATGCCAGGCCAGTCCAACAGAA